CCCTGGAGGTATTTAAAAGACGTGTAGATGTGGTGCCGTGGTTTAGTGGTGGACTTGGCAGCGCTAGGTTAAGATGTTGGACTCGATGATCTTAAAGGTCTTTTCCAACCTAAACGATTCTATGATTCTATTAGCCACCCTTACTAAATCACCTGTTTTGAAAAGCAAAAAAAGAACAGCAGTTTGTCTGAAGAGCACCTAGGATTGCACCATATGGACACTGGCAAGCCATTACTTTCTCAAGAGCCTTAAAAAGAGCAGGGAAAAAAATAGCACCAGGCTTTTTATCTCAACAGTATGGGATCTTATGTATGTTATTAAGAATATTATTATGCACGTCATTTGGAAGCTGCCTGTCTGAAGAGGCTCCTAACACACGGGACAGCTTGTGCAACCACTTTTGAGCTGACAGTGTGGCATTTCTTGCATTACGCTCTCAATTTTTCAGCGAGGCAGAGGTGGTGGAAAATATTCCATTATCTGCTCCTCTGTCCCTGAGACAGTACATCATTCCTTGCAATAATTATCCTCACAGATTCGATTTATACATGCTTCACATGTAAATGTGTGTTCAGTAAGACAGATGATTCACAGAAGTGACACTTCAAGAAGGATACTGACAACAAAGGCCTGAGAAAGGAAAGGAAGTTGACAAGGACAATCTGGTCTCCCATATCTGAAAGGTGCGTTAGGCTTCAGAAGACCAATATGTAAGATCATCTCAGATAGTCAGTACTTCAGCAAGCAAAAGTGACAGCAGTGTAGAGAGCCTCCAACGCTACTGCAACACGATAGGAAACTGCATTAATATACATTGACGGGTATTTAGTATAAGAGCTAATGAAGCTCTTTTGCTCATCTGAAATAGGAAGGTCAAGAAAGAAGTAATCTCCTCTTACGGCTACTATTCTGAAGAGTTTACCAAGAATACTCCAGGCCAGCCTTCAAACAACAAATACAGATGTTTTACAGCTTGTTTTACGACTAACTTACAAAGTTCATCAGCAAGTTTATACAACTTAAATTAGCATGACAACTTAGAAATATTTTATTCTTAAACAAATTAACTAAATAATTTCTAAATCACCGTCAATAATTCAGATGAGATGAAGATAAAGACGACAGAAGCAAAGACATCAATTCACAAAAGTCTATCAACAGATGATGAAAACGTATCAAATTTTAGAAATATTTACATTAACTGGATTAAATTGACCATGTTTACTGTATCAAAATACAAAGCTGTTAACAAGAGATGAGGTTTTGCACTTATTTCTTTAGATTCTATTCAAGCATTTTCTCATATTCAGAGAATGTTACCTCAATACCTTGATTTATTTCAAAGACAAACAGCTCCCCCCAGAGCAGTCATCACTGCTATTCTGTAGATGAGAAATTACTTACGAAGGGTCAGTCACTGACTGAATCTATATTACTCCTGAATTCCCATGATTCACTGATCCAGGCCTAAAAACTTGGCCTGAACAAAAGCAAACAGGACCGAAATTATTACAATAATTATATGGTATGCTTCTTACCCCATCCAGAAGAGTGTTTGTTAGATGTGTGCGAAGATCTTTACGAAATGGAAATTCCAGATTAGATACATGAAAAATCGAATTGTCTCTATCAATCATATAAACTTCATTCTTGCCATCAATCAGCATCATATACCTGAAAAGGCAATGTTAAGATATTATACTTAAAGGTATATCCTCTAAATCTCTACTATTTTGATTTATATTAAAAAAAAAAAAGCAATCATGACAGACATTATAAAAAAGCATTCTAGAAGGAAGTTTTTACAGTTGAAAGTTAAAACTATTGCTTTGAGAATGCAGATGATTTAGTTCAATGCAATTATCATAAAGAAAATATTTCAAGAATAAAAATCAAGAATATATATATTAAAAAAAAAAAAAGAACATTGCTGCATCCAGATAAAATGATGCCTGAAAATCTATTAAAAATAACGCTGTAAGAAATACATGAGGCTAATTCAGTTAGATTCAGCTAAAAGATCTTTTACTCCAGTTTTTCCTTTATTAATGGAACTGAACTTTGCCTGGTGTAAATCTGCAGAGTTTCATCCAAAAGGAACACCTTTCCTGTCTATCACTGGTTATCTAACACTGCAGCACTGCACAGTCCCAGCCAACTACTGAACTACTTTTCATTAAAACACTGACAAATATAGCCAAGGTACATAGCTCTCACATTACACACAAGGTAAACCACAAAGATTACTACATGATCACCAGCAACTTGTGAGCTTGATTCAGTTGCAGACATCTGAATTTTCTAAAAGTTTCTTTACATTATGACAGTACTGGGGAGCCCAATTCATTAATTTAGACCTCTCTACGCTAATCCCACAGAAGACTGCTCTATAGAGGTAACATCCTGTAAACAAGAAAAACCAGCAAACAAGTAGAAAGAAAAGAAGTTAAAAAAATATAAAACCCACAAGAGATGCTAAAGAGCATGATAGCTGTAACACACCTGAGTTACCTTTGTAAAGTTTTCTTTGATCTTTGCAGCAAGAGTACTAAAGTAGCATTTCAGTAACAAGGCAGCTGTGCAGACAAAGGTCTCCTCAAACTTGCGCAGCAGCTGAAGAGAGCACCCCTTCTGACTGCAGAAGAAAGTTCAACAGAAACTACTATCAAAGGCCAGATGCAACAAGTCAACATCTTGGCAGTGAACGAGGAGGAATAAAGGTGCTGAGCATATACCACAAGCAGCCCTGGAAGTGAAGACTAGGAGCTTGAATCTGGTATGGTAAAGGAAGATAGAAACTGTTGTGGGACTCAGAAGGTTGGCAAAGCAAAAGAGACCAGAAAAGTGCCTTTTTGGAACCAACAAGAAGATCTGACTGCAGTTAGTGAAACTTAGCGCACCTAGTAACACCAGTGAAAAGAACAATAGTTATCAAGATGTGATTGAATGATCAGACAGGAAACACCATGGCTTAACAGTGGTGTGAAAAATAAGTGTACAAGTGGTGTGAAAAATAAGCGTACAAGAGATGAAGCTGACATGAAGACTCAAAAGCAAGTCTGAGTTTGATATCTCAGTCAAACCTGAGTTATGTCAGTTTAACTAATTACCACCCGAGCCCCTGTAACTGCACTTATGCCTGATCACGCTGCATCTAACCGTGTTGGTGGTCTACACCAAAACTGAGAGCATGACCTTAAGCTGAGCTTTCTTTCACTGATCCTTTCATTTCACCTTGCACACAGAAGTGCTAAAAGCACCAGTATGACTACTGAGGTTCTACTGAGAAAAGTCAAAATCACAGAAAGCCAAAAAAGAAAAATAGGAGCACCATCCACTATCAATACAGTTCAGTAATTCTAGAAGTTCACAACATCTAATGTTCTTGAATAGCCTCCAATATAAATAGGGAAGAGACACAAACCTTCCCACAGCCACTAACCCATTTGGACTCCAGTACAGTTTCTTTGACAGCACAGAATACGGAAACACTTGATTAAAAGCAAAAGATTATAGGAGTTCCCATCTCCATGGAATTGGAATACTCCATAGGATTTTCCACCATACACGTCAGAATATTTTTAAAGCAAGCAAGTGTATTTTGAAGACTCATTCAGCAAAGAACTTCTCATACTTATAAAAGTCTTCAAATACATTGGATATATGTTGGGAAAAAAAAACAGGATTTTTCATAATTCATCTATTTCTCCTTGGAAAGTCCTGGTTATGAAGCAAACAGTACTCTCTTCTAAAATTCACCATTGTTATTACAAGTAATGCCCACAGGATCTCTGCTGTCAAATAAAGCAGCAAGCATCCCCCAGAATCCCTGCAGGCAAATGGTCTACACAGGCAGCCATCCTGTTGTCTGCACAGATCCTGCCTCTAGAAATCAGTAGATCTGGCTACTGGAACGCAGTACGACCCATGCAGCTAAAATAAATACTTTTTTTTCCAGTATTATGACTACAATCATAATTCACCACAGATCAGTTCAACTTGCATTTCTCCACACACAAGATGAGTAGTTCAAGATGCTACACAACAGTTGCACAAAAAAAACAAAAAAAAAACAAAAAACAAAACACCAACCCACAACAAAAAAACAAGATACATCAGTTGGAGGAGAGAGGAGGAGTAGATTAAATCAATGCAACATTAGCAGAGCTGAAAGCTGCACAAAAAAAATAATTCAATATACATTCAACTAGGTAAGTTGGCACCAGCTCTTCAGAAGCAAGAATAATCTACAGACAATATCCATTTTTCAAGCCATGTAAATTTATTCGAAACAAAAACTAATTATAAAGAGCATGTTGTCTTTTCCTCAAAAATTAAAGAAACCATGGAGAGGGAAGAAGAGGTGTATAAGTAACAGAAAAAAAATACGTGAATCACTTTTAATTTTTCAAATAAGCTTACTTGGACATCTCTGCACTCTCATATTCATTGCTGTTTTAAGTACATGCTTTCATTGTAATTTGCCTCAATGACAAAACAGCATCAGAAACAAGTTCTAATGCTTCAAGAGATCTAGGACTTAAGAAAACCATACTTGAATCATGTCCTGATTTTGGCTGGGATGGAGTTTATTTTCTTCCTAGTGGCAAGTATAGTGCTGTGGTTTGGATTTAGGATGAGAATAACGTTGATAACAAACCGACATTTTAGATGTTGCTAAGTAGTGTTTACACTAAGTCAAGGACTTTTCAGCTTCTTATGCTCTATCAGCTGAGAAGGCTAGAGGTACACAAGAAGCTGGGAGAGGACAGAGCCAGGACAGCTTCCCAAACCAGCCAAAGGGATATTCCATACCATGTGACGTCATGCTCAGTATATAAACTAGGGGAAAGCTGGCCAGGGAGCAGCTGCTCCGGGACTGGCGGGCCATCAGTCAGCAGGTGGTAAGCAACTGCATCATGCATCACTCGCTTTGTATATTCCATTATAAGTATTACTACTATTACTATTTTATTTCTGTTATTAAACTGTTCTTAGCTCAGCCCACGAGTTTTTTCACTTATACTCTTCCAATTCTCACCTCCATCCCACCAGGCGAGCAGCTGTGTGGTGCTCTGTTGCCAGCTCAGGTTAAAGCACAACACGTCATCATTACAAATGTGATACAGTAAGAGATCTTACAACTGCTTTGGAATAAGGGGAAAAAAACAACAAAACACAAACAGTTAAAAGCTTTAGGTGTTTTCAGCCACCTAAAACATCTACAGGTTCAGACAACATACAGAAGGTTTCATCAAAATCTATTAGTCTAATATCAAAAGTAACAGTAGCACACCACCACTTTCTCTGGATCTTTCATGCAAAACAAAATCTATGGACATTTACTTAAGAGTTGGTAGCTGGATAGCCCACCAACCACTAGTGGTGAGATTCCTTCTCTTTCAAACCATGGGGCTAATGTTACATCTCTTGTCTCATGATTTCTTTCTCTTTTTAAAAGTTGTCACTGTTAGCTGTTTATACCATAAATTCTGAACGGCAGAGACAATGGTAAGCCTTACAACTGCATGCAAAAGACTTCCAATCAAAGATCACCAGGAATCACATAATTATATCTTACTTCAGAGAGCTACTGAGAAACAACATGTGCTTACTTTGAAGACAAAAAAAAAAATTGGTCTCAGGACAATAGATTACTTTCATGTAGACACATTTGTCATGGGTCTCATGATAATATATTTGCTTAACATAGAAGCTGAAAAAGTCCTCTGCATGAGAGAGAGATTAGACTGACACAGATATATCTGTTTTGAAAGGCTTTGTTTGGGGTTTTTTAAGCTGAAAGCCTGAAAACACCTCCACCTCCTAATTTAATAAACTATTGAAACTATTGGAGAAAACTCTGAATGTGGTCCAAACAACAACATTTGTCAAAATTCTAATTATTACCAACGTAAGATAAAAGAAATTTGGTCAAGGATGGACTGACAAACAGTTGTCTATGTTAACTGAATCTGTTCTATGAGCAGCTGAAAATTGAAAATGTGCAAGAAGCAAAAGAGACATGCAACCATGCCAAGGTTTTGGTGAAACTAAATTTATTAATTAATGAGGGAGTTTGGTTAGGTGGTTGGATTTTTTTGTTTGATTGCTTGTTTAACTCAAACAGCACAAGTTCATGCGCTTAATATTAGGCTTTAAGTTTTCTCCAGATGACACTTCAAGCTTTCTTGGAGAAATCTTGTAGACTGCTGATCAGTTCTTTTCTGAATATTATCTGGACATGCCCTGACTGGTTGTATTTGAAGAAGTTAATTAAGGTATTAGTAGCATAAGCACTTACACCAGAACAGAGAGCGTACCTCTGGGCAACGCCACACAGGCAAAAAAAGAAGAACGACGATTTCTCAGATACATTTAATAGAAACTAAAACAGCACATAGGAGCTTAACTGCCATGCATTGTATTGCATACCGTGAACACTACTTGCTATTACAGCTGTCCATTTATTACTAATTATCTCTATTGTGTGAGCACTCAAAAGCTCCAATTAGTAACCAGGCCCCATTGTATTAGATTCTGTGCAAGTACACAAGATGACATAGTCCCCTATCAGATGGCTCAATCTGAATTTAAAACAAGACAAGTAAATAAAAGAGCCAGAGCAGAGCAGCAATAAGAGCAATAACAGAACTGCTCATTCACCTTTGATA